ACAAAACATTTGAGCATACAGAACGACAGTCATTGTAACATTGTAGTAGTTCAATTGTATTGTCACTTATTTTATTACACTGGGCTTCTCCAGTAGCCAGGCTTTGAGATTGGAGAATGATAGACAGTCTATATTGTAATCGAAACTGATTGCTGTTATTTGGTACATCCAGTTATCAAACTAGCGAGTACAACGGCCATATAAGATTTGTTCAATGATTCACTGCTATACAATAATCTCTTAAATACAAGGGAGGCATGTATGCTATTTATAGCAGGACATCTGCATAGTTTTTGTACAATATCCAATGAATCTGCATCATATGTCTCAGTACAGGTGTCTCCCACTGCAAGGTCAGAGGTCAAGTCTAAAAGTCTTGACCAAAGCAAGTCTCTGTGTCATTCCTCAGTTTGTCACTTATTAGAGTTAGGTCCTAGGTCAGACAAAAAAAAAAGGACTATTCTGTTATGAATGTTAGGCAGGACAGGTTTCAGGATGCTTAATATTCAGATGGACAAAATCACATCCCTCAACTTCATCTCATCAACTGAACGTACTAACCCTGTACTTGAGGACAATCTGTCGTCCCTAGGCTCAGCCTCGACAAGATCCTCAAGACCACCCTACTAATACCAAAACTCCATGCCATTACCACTTACTAACCCTGTACTTGAGGACAATCTGTCGTCCCTAGGCTCAGCCTCGACAAGATCCTCAAGACCACCCTACTAATACCAAAACTCCATACCACTTATCCCACCTACTAACCCCTGTACTTGAGGACAATCTGTCGTCCCTAGGCTCAGCCTCGACAAGATCCTCAAGACCATCCTACTTATACCAAAACTCCATGCCACTTATCCCACCTACTAACCCTGTACTTGAGGACAATCTGTCGTCCCTAGGCTCAGCCTCGACAAGATCCCCAAGACCACCCTACTAATACCAAAGCCTCACCATCTCATCATAAAAAAAACAACTTTAAAGTTCCGCCGCATTAGGTCCGCCAAGTTTCCTTCCCGTCATGCTAAGAAAATTACGTCAAGTGATAAACACAATCAGACTCGCCTTTATTACGTCAAAGCCATCGCCTCTATACACTCCTGACAAAATGAACACACAACCAGGTAGGATTAGAGTTACTGCTCTTTCCAAACATACCGCTAGGTGTCGTCCTTACACTGTAACCCGGTGACAGGTCCCACAATGCATCTCACTCAACTTTGACCTGCCCCATTGCATGACGGGAAACAAAATGGCGGCGCCCATAAAATCCAGGTAAAATAGAACACGGGAAACAAAATGGCGGCGCCCATAAAATCCAGGTAAAATAGAACAGGTTTTGCTATCGCAAACCTGTAATAAGATACCCTCTTTGGTCGACTCTCTACAAATGGACTCGTCTGGCGACCTTTGACATCTCTGATAGCGCGAAGATGGTACGTACACATGAGTACATGTGTACATGGCGCGAAGAGGGAAGTTTCAAACCAGCATTGAACCGGCGTTCTCCTCCTTCTGACTGTCACTGTTTTATAATCTGCATGTTAGGGGACTGTGTTATGACTTGCTGAAAAGGCCTCTGTGAGTGTTTCTGTTTTGTTTTCATCTATAGATAACCTAATTTAGGAGGTCCGTAAATTTAACCTCCGAAAACAGTTGTACACAGTTACTGCGTGGAGAGTAAGGATTGGGGGAGATAATGGTTAATAGACGTGAGTTGTAGTAATGTTGCACAACATTTTCACCACAAATCTACAGACTATATGGGAAGCTCAAGGAATTCCTTTTTTTTTATTTCGTGATTTTAAAGTCAAGATTATCAAATCTTGCTGGATGTCCCCAAGTCAGGTCACCTGGGGTCAACAGATATCCAGTCCTGCTTACCCACATAGTGTACATCATGTAAGTACAAGTAAGGCCACACCAATTCAATTTGTTGGTTCTCGGATTCGCCTCTTCGTTTTTTTCTGATTTGCAAAAAAAAAAAAATGATTCTCGTCCTGTATCAACTGAAAAATGCTCATGTTTTGCCCCCAACAGTTGAGGAAAGTCCTTTTCTTCCTAGTTGTTACAGTTTTCCCATCTATCATTGCAGTGGTTTGATTAAAAGTTCAAAATTCAATGTTTAAATTTTAACCCAGCCTTTTTTGTTGACTTCATAGCTCATTCCGTAGCATTTAAGCCTTATGCCTAGACCTGTTTTTATTTTTATTTTTTTTCGCCCTGTCGCTTCATATTTTTTCGGAAAAAATCCGAGAACCAACAAATTAAATTGGTGTGGCCTAAGTTATATTTAGTTAAATCTCATAGCACAGTAATGTTGTACTCGTCATATCTCCCAACATTGAGTGTTTCTTTGAATATACCATATCATTTGAATTGTGGACTGGAGTAGAGATAAACCTCAAAATTCTTTATAACGTTAGTTTTATGAATTAATGAATGACTGGTTTATTAGGTAAAACATTGCAGCCCCTCAGGCTGAAATACGTTCTACTTACATAGTACATGAAAGTACGTTTCACTTACATAGGACACAACTCATGATCAATATGACGAATAGCATAAAATATTACATAGTATTAAAATGTCGATTAGAATAAAATATTACAATAACAAAACATCTGATTGTGGTTGATTTACAACGTATTATTTGCTCGTGTTAAGCAGACTCGGTAGAGACGGTACAGGGCTGTTTTGAAATCGAGCAGTGCGGCAAGGCACCAGTGTCATTTTGTTAGAGTTTCTTAGGTTCCTGCCGTGCTCCTGTCGCCGTGTGTTGGGGAGGAGATCAGCTGTAGTTAAGTTTGAAATCAATTCTACATAGTACAAATGTACAGTGTCTTAATCCTGAGAATACTACTAACATTGTGATTCCTTTTCTGTTGAACAGTATTGTTAAGGTCTATCCTGACAGCAAAGGTGAGGTAGTATAGGTTCAACAAGATATTATGTCCCAGATACCACAGTGATAGAGATAGCATTTACATATAAACAGTAAAATGCTGTTTCTGGTGACTTGTAAATTTACTGCAAATCTAAAGCAGCTTCCATTTTTACCTCCATGAAAAATGGAGGTATTGTTTTTGGCGGCGTCTGTCTGTGTGTCTGTGTGTGTGTCTGTGTGTGTGTCTGTGTGTCTGTGTGTGTTTCCGCAACTTTGTGGTCAGCATAACTTCAGAACGCCTTTATGGATTATGGTGATATTTGGTATGTTGGTAAGTCTTAGGAAGACAAACGTCAAGGTCAAGTATGGGCCTCCTGGTGGATGACCTTGGTACTGCAGCAGAACTTCCGGTTTTTGTATCTTTGGTCCTGAACATGCTATGGTCTTGATGTTTTGGTGACAGATTGCTTTTCTTGTCAGGAATAAGTGGTGTGAGTTTGGTCCCCCTAGCAGCTTGTTCTGGAACTGCAGGGCACTTTCTGGCGAAATGTTTAAAAGCCAATAAGTCCAGATAGGAACAACATATTTTCAAAATTTTTGGTGTGTAGGTAGCTGAGAAAGAGATGTACATGATTAAATGCAAATTATGCAAATGAGGACTTTATTTGCATAATTAATGAGGAAATTCTATGATTACAGTGTTTTACATTATACTGCTTTCATACATGTAATGTATGTAACCTATGGCAGGCAGAACATCAACAGATACTAACTATGCAAATGATGACCTAATTTGCATAATCTATGCAAAAATTCTATGATTTCTTAATGGTGAATAATGGGAATGTCATACTTTGGACATCTGTAAGTTCATCAAAAGTTAACATACATCACGATGCATATATCATTTTAATGCAGACGTAATTTGCATAATTGAAGAGGAAATTTACATTTACATATCAAGCCCATATTTCATGGAGGTATGAAGTCTCGGAATTCTTGTTTAAATACAGTACTGTATATTGTTATCAAACAAGTTTAGTCATTTTACTTTTTACAGCCTTATACTTAAGTTGTTATCACCCTCCTGCAGTGTTACAGATTACCCAGTTTCTTGGTAATGTCCTCCTGTTGCTGTTTGTCTCCTGTCTCCATGGCGATGGTCATTGCTGATTGATAGTGAGATCTGGCCAGGTCCATGGCCAGGTCCAGTTTGCCCAATGCCTTGTAGGAACCAGCTATGTTTTGATATGCTGCTATCTGTTCAGTCTTGTCTCCACTTTTTTGGCTCATCTTCAGGTGCTTCTTGTGCCACTCCAAACGTTCCTCATTGTAAATAAAAGTGATACAACTTTAACTTCTCACAGTTTGTAAATGTCTCAAAAATTCAAAATGGCTGCATCAACTTTTCCTGGTGAACTTTGGTTTCCACACTGTATTTTGTTGCTGTGTACAGCATTGCAATTTTTGTTTGGAAATTTTCTAATAATACCTCATATAAAATGTATCTACATGTACTTTGCATGTTGACAGAGAAAACAAACAACTGAAAGTCTTTAAAAAAATTAATGTTCTGAAACTGATATGTAGACTGTGGTAGAGATAGAACTCGAAATGGTTTATTTTTTAAACATGAACTCATAGAACAGAAAACAAACAACTGGAAGTCTTTAAAAAAATTAATGTTCTGAAACTGATATGTAGACTGTGGTAGAGATAGAACTCGAAATGGTTTATTTTTTAAACATGAACTCATAGAACAGAAAACAAACAACTGGAAGTCTTTAAAAAAATTAATGTTCTGAAACTGATATGTAGACTGTGGTAGAGATAAAACTCGAAATGGTTTATTTTTTAAACATGAACTCATAGAACAGGGTCTTATGATATTATTACATTCCCTTTCTGTTGAACAGTGTTGTTATATATCAAGGTCTATCCTGATGTGCTATTTACAACAAAGATGAGGTAGATTAACATGATATTTTGCCCCAAATACTGTGATACATGTAACATTTAGATATGGCAAGGAAACTGCTTTTTTAATACAAGTTACTGCAAAACTTAAAAGCAGCTTCCATTGTTGAAATACAGAAAATAGGTCCTGGAGTTTTGTCCTGTATGTTGTCAGTAAACAAGTTCAGTCATTTTACTTTACATATTGTACTGTAAAGTTGTAATTAGCCTCTTGTATTGTTACAGATTAGCCAGATTCTTGGTAATGTCCTCCTGTTGCTGTTTGTTTCCTTACAGTCTCCATGGCGATAGTCATTGCTGACTGAGAGTGAGATCTGGCCAGGTCCAGTTTACCCAGTGCCTTGTAGGAACCAGCTATGTTCTGATGTGCTGTTATCTGTCCAGTCTTGTCTTCACTTTCTTGGCTCATCTTCAGGTCCATCTTGTCCCACTCCAAACTTTCCTCATACTCACCCATGTCATAATGGGCCAGTCCTAGTCTATTGTAAGCCAGCCCCTCCCTATCCTTCCTCCCCAAGTCCCTGGCTAGTGCCAACATCTCTGTGTAGTACTTGTGTGATTCCTGTGGTTCGTGTAGCTGTTCTCTGTGTAAATCACCCAGCTTACAGTAAATGTCCATCTGTTGAGTCTTGTTTCCTGTCTCCATGGCAATGGTCATTGCTGATTGATAGTGAGATCTTGCCAGGTCCAGTTTACCCAGTGCCTCGTAGTTTACAGCTATGTTTTTATGTGCTGTTATCTGTTGAGTTTTATCTCCACTTTCTTGGCTCATCTTCAGGTTCTTATTGTCCCACTCCAAAGTTTTCTCATACTCCCCCATGTCATAATAGACCAGTCCTAGTCTGGTGTAAGCCTGACTCTCCCAGTCCTTCCTCCCCAACTCCCTGGCTAGTGCCAACATCTCTGTGTAGTACTTGTGTGATTCCTGTGGTTCATGTAGCTGTTCCCTGTGTAAATCACCCAGCCTACAGTAAATGTCCATCTGTTCAGTCTTGTTTCCTGTCTCCATGGCAACAGCCAAGGCTGATTCATAGTTAGTTTTTGCATCTGACACTTGACCTGACAGTGCTAATGATAAGGCCAGGTATTTGTAAGCTACACAAATATTAGTTTCATTTTTGGTTTCCACTCCATAGATAGCCAGAGCTTTCTCATGATTTCTAAAGGCTTCCTGTTGCAAACCTAAGATATCACATGTTAAACCTAGTCTGCTGTAGGCCTTGGCTTGTTTTCTGTCATCTGACAGTTCCTGAGAACACTCTAACATATTCTGATAATACTGCAGAGCTGACTGTAAGTAGTGTAGTTCTGTCCTGTAGAGATCACCTATCTGACAGTACAGGTCAAACTGTTGTGCCTTGTCTACCCTCGCTGCAGGTGTGTTCAGTTCAGCAAGAGAGACTTTTATGCTGAGCCGTGCTTCCTGGCCACCTGAGATTCAGGAGAAAGATTGTCAAAAAAGTAATATTTGTCCCATGTATGAGTATATTTCAATGACCTCATATGTTTGCAAAGCAATATTAAGCCGGGAAATTCTCCTAAAGAACTATTTTTTTGTGATGGACTGACTATACTTACAGGTGAGTCATATGTTATTAATAGTTTTTGTTGACATATTTGAAAACTTGTAAGGCAAAAAGTAAATTTGCAAGATAAACGGTCAAAAGTCCATTGTCATACTAGATTCTGTGCAAAAAGCCAATTATCAAATTGAAGAATTAGTGTCACCATGTGGAAAAGTCAAATTCTTTCTGGACAAAGTTACATTATAGTATACATTTGCACAGGTACATGTAGTATGTAGCTACAACTCTCAAAAACATACATTTTCCCTATGTTTACAATATTATGAAACAACACAGGCCATGTATCATGCATTAGCTCCATATGTTCGTACATCTACAACTGCCTCAAGAAGCGAGAAGAAGTTTGATCCTGAATATAGTAGCTAACATTATGATTAGTATGTATAGTTTTGGTAAGATATTGCTGTAATTTTACTTTTGCTTTTATGACCTGTACTTAGCCTGTAAGAGCATAAATGTACAATAAAGGTCTTTCATTCATTTATTCAATATCATTATAGAAAATACCTGATGTAGGATGTATAACCACTATACAGGCCACAGCAGGTTGTCAGTATTACCCTTACCCAGCTCCCTTACCTGTACATGTAGGTGTGTAGGGTCTACTTGATCCTGATCCAGATGTGGCAGGTGTATGTCCAGATGAACCAGCCGAGGAACTTCTTCTGGGCCTCCTGGGTTGTCCCTTCTGTTGTTCCAGTTCCAGTGAGGCTAGTTCTGAGATCAACTTATGCATATCTGTGCCATCAGGTGATTCTGTAGGGTGTTGAACATCTGTGGATTATAATAATAGATTTTCACTGAAGAACATGAACATGCCCGAGGGCTAATTGCGAGTACAAACAACATGACATGAAAAAAGAAAATGGTATGAGAGACTTTGTCTAACATTATACAATATAGAATACAATACGGGATATTCCGTATCATCCAAGGTATCGGCCCGAAGGCCGGAGGGCGATCCGACTCACGAGAGGGCCGGGACTGAGGGCGATACGGAATACACCATCTTGTAATTCATTTACATGTATTTGCTATAAACTTTCTGATATCAAAACTTTTTATAATTCACTTCTGTTACAGAGGTCAATTATGAAGATTTGATACCAGAAAGGTTCTGTTAGTGTTAGATAATTATATGACATTCATACTCATTTGTCTTGTATGAAATGGTAATAATACATGTAGATGTTCATTACGCAAAGGAGGACCTCATGCATAACTTGACATTATGATTGATAATGAAAATCTTGTTGGTTAAGGTATATGTATGAGGTCATTGGGATTTCTAGTTGAAATGCTTTTTGAGAGGACATCAGACTATACTTGCCTTTCAGTGATTTATAATGGTATTGTAACGTGTATAATCAATTCATTTGCTTTTCCATACTGCTTCTGTATCTTACCTGCATTTGGTACACTTGCAAGTCTGATCTCAAATTCATCCAGGCTGTCCTCTAGATCTGTCTGTGTAGCTGTTGGGATGTGCAGCTCCTGTTGTTTCCCAAAAGACCTTGTCAGGTTTGTACCATCCAGATGAAGTACATCCAGCACACTGGCAGTGGTGTGGGTGGGTGGCTGGTAGAGAGGGTACTCCTGGGGTAGTCTTGGGATTGGTTGGCCTTCAACATTAAGTACAAAAAATCAGTGTCTTACCAATTTTATTGAAGGATAATTGGACAAAAAACGTGTCTAAGTACCTTCGCCAAGAAGGTTATGTTTTCAGGGGCGTTCGTGTATGTGTGTGTGTGTGTGTGTGTGTGTGTGTGTGTGTGTGTGTCTGTCAACACGATAACTTGAGGTCTTGATGGATTGTCTTGATACTTGGTAGGTGGGTAGGTCTTGATGAGACCTCAAAATGATTAGATTTTGGGCCACCTGGCGGCTTGTCATGGTACTGCAGCAGAACTTTCGGTTTTGATATCTCATGATCCAGACATGCTAGGGTGACGAAATTTAAATGGTAGATAGCTCTTGTGCTGGGGATAAAGTGACATGAGTTTGAGCCCCCTAGTTGCTTGCTCTAGAACTGCAGGGGGGTTTAATGGACAAATGTTTAAAGGGGGATAACTCAAGAACCGATTGATGGATCATCGTGATTTTTGGTATGTAGGTAGCTTGAGTGATGCTTGACATAATGATATTACAATTATGCAAATATGGATGTAATTTGCATAATTAATGAGGAAATTCTATTTATCAGCTGTATTCCATAATAGGAAGTTCAAGCTTGTGACATATGTTATTAAGAATGAGAGAAACACAGGCAGATATCGATTATGCAAATGAAGACTTAATTTGCATAATTAATGAGAAAATATTATAATTGCATAGTGGTAACTTCCTGGAATTTTATACTTGGGGTGTTTGAAAGTTAAGTTAAGGTGAACATAATTAAACTTAACTTATTCAAATAAGGACCTCATTTGCATAATTTATGAGAAAATGTCATGGCATTCTTTGTTAAGATAAGACTATCTTTTGGTGGAGAATATGATCAACAGATATAATTCATGCAATTGAGGATCCTATTTGCATAATTAGGGGGACTAATATATAATTTCTTAATCATAAAAGCTAACATCATTTGGCAAAGGTATGAGATCGTGGAACTCTAGCTTAGAATATTACAATCACGTTTATCTTCAGTCTGCTTGGATAACTGTAATAGTAGATTTTGAATGCAGTTTCACTTTGAACCTCTCAAAATATCATAACATGATATTTGATAACATTTGATGTTAAAGATGGGATATGAGTAAGTGTTATGAAGTTACCTTTGGCAGCAGGTGTGGTGAGTAAGTAGACCAGGGCCTTCCTGAAGTCCTCAATCTTAATGTTTGTCGTCACAGAAATGCTCACTGCACGGAGTTGTTGTAAGATTTCCTTCCTTATCAAGCTATCAACCAGCAGGTCATTCAGCTTCCCACATTTGTACATGTACCAGAGTTGGCCCAGCCCAGATTTGTCTCTACATTTCAGATAGAAGACTAGACTTTGTGTCTTTACACCAATGACACTGACACCTTTTATATTGCTCAGTTGCCTGACTGCCTCGGTTGTATTTACTAGGTCTTCAATAGTTTTTATTTCTGGCTTTATCTGCTTCAGCAGAAGCAGAGTTTCATCCTTAGTGATGTCAATGGTGACAAGGGCTGCTTTTGCTGAAGCATAGCTTAGAAATTGCTCTGGTGTTTTAACACTAGGTATCACCTGTGCAAGTATCTCTACTACAATTGGCAGAGGGGGAGGTCCTGGTACTTCTGAAAGAGATCAATAGATTATGATTGATTTTAAAGACCTGACCTACTGTGCAGACATGAGGCAATGGTTAATACAATGAGGGCGCATCACAACCATAAAACATAAAAAGACCTAAATCCATTACTGCTCTCAGGGCATGTAATGATACTGTGCTTCAAGTTCGAAGTCCATTTTAATTACACACACACAATCATTGCATTCACATAAAGATCGGACTATCATGGTCGACTGTCACTAGTAACAAAGACACCCCCACCGTCTCACCGCGCCTGTTACTTATTAAGCGCGACTGGCAAATTCCCGCAACAGTTGCGGCCAGCACCGCGAGTGTTACTGCCGTGGTACCACTTATCGGCCCCTCACCATCTGCCTGAAGTTCCAACCCCCCACCGCTATTCCAAACAACGGGTTTTTGTGGACCATTCCAATTTGCCTCACAATTGTAGGGGTGCATCTGCAATATTACATTGACCGCGAAAGCAGCAACGGCAAAAGTACACATTCGTGCATCAATACGGGCATGCCCGCAGACGGCGTGTAAAATTGCGTGCCGATTACACAAAGAGAACCCAGTGTTTTGACTGCGAACACGAAAAAACGGCTCTTCACAACACTTCGTCCGGAGGTCCTGACTTCCTTCACGGAGTAATAAACCAGGAGTGCCAATGCAGGGAGAACACAATCCCAAACGTGGCTCAGCTGCAAAAGCGCCACCTACATCATGATTATATATTGGCTACATACATGTATGGCAGCGAGAAGGAGAACTCTAGTCAGAAGCTTTGAAGAAGGTGTCTGATAGATGCCAAAACGTAAGCAAGGTGAGACTATACTGGTTGTGTAAAAGAAAACCCATACACATGACATCTTGTAAATAAACTAGTCTGCACAAAATCATTTGTTTTGTTCAAGACTTAGTGAAGAAAGAGAACCTTAGGCCACACCAAGTAAATTTTATGGATGACGTCCGCGCGCGCATTGATTTTGGCCTGTTCCTAGAAAAAAATCAAGAAATTCCGCTTCCTGTAACTATGACCAAAGAGTCACGACGGTGCTGCAAATCGTTAGATTGACGTTAAACCCGTAACGCGAAATGGGTAAAGAGCAAAAATGTGATGAAAGAAACAGGACAGGACGACAACTGCTGTTCCACCTGATTTATTGCTATTTTGATGGTGAATGAAAGACTTCTTGCTTGTTACACTGTGTCACCTCATTCAATTTGTGTCCTAACATTTGTCGTCTCTTAGTATATTTCTAATCTAGACATCTTGTTTTTTAGGGCCCTTCTTGTTTTTTTTTTCGCCCTCTAGCATTAGATTTAGGGTCTCTAAAGGACGTCATCCATAAAATTTACTTGGTGTGGCCTTATGTATTCTTTAAGATACAGCTAATGATAGTGCTGTGATATTGCCTACAGTTAATCATACATGTACCTTTCAATGGTTCCCTGATTCTATTGGCTAAATCCTCTACATGAGCTGCAGCAGCACTTTCCCTCTGGACTTCAGAAGGGTGTTGTGCACCTGGATGATAAAACAAAACATAAACATCTATCATTCAATAACAATATGTAGATCTTGCTGCATGGATGTGAAATGTGACTAAGCATGAATTTGGAACAAATCTTCATCTGTGACTAATGATCATCCCTTTTAATAAAAAAGGACCAAGGACTAGTATAATAATAATAATTTACAAAATGTCATGTAACTCAACTAGTCTAAACTTGAAACAATATGTCAAATTGATATTTTATTTATTCATTTATTTATTGTTTGATTCAGGCAGAGCCCATAGACAACATAGACAACACAAAATACATAGATCTAAAAATACAATGTCAGGACAGGATACAAAATACAGGATAAAAGAAACTGAGAGAAGGCCTATTTAAGGTCTGCTTACCAACTGGCAGTATCAACGCCAGGATATGGTGGAAACATATCAGTTATTGCTTTTCAAATTATATAACTTTTTTTGTTACAAATAAATGACTGTTATGTGATTAACATTGATGAACATTAATTAGTTATGTAAAATATACATGAAACAGCCTCCAGTTTAATTCTGGACTAATTCCCATACCTCAGCAAATGTACATTTGTACATCTACATGTATATGGGCTAATATCGTAACCTATAGGTAAAAATGATGTAAGAAATGTGGCGGCCATAGAGAACCTAATTCTGCAGAATTCTTCCCAGAATTCTAGCTCCAGTTCAGAATTCTGCAGAATTGGGTTTAATCCCTAAGGGGCCATTGATGGCTACCACATATTTCTTACATCATTTTTACCTTTTTTACCTATAGTTAAAATTAGACCATCTAGATGTAAGGTTCCTGAGATATGGGAATTAGTCCGGATTTACCTGTATCTGTACAGGCTTTGATGAACTGCAGATGGAACTCTTCCCAGTACTTTGAGGACAGAAGTTGCTGCTTGCCTCTTGCTGCTGTTTTGAACTCTGCTCTGTTGTGTTTCAGCACCCTCTCTATGGCATCGGCCCAACGTCTGACAGTGACACCTTCATCGCTTCCATCCATGTCAACAATGGAATGATGCAGTTCATCTACATGTTCATGGATGAAGTCTGCCAGTCCAGATTTACTGGATACAAGAACAGGAACGCCTGCTGCGATGGCCTCCAGGCCGACCAGTCCGAACGGTTCAGCACGAGAAGGCATCAGGACCAGGTGGGCCTTCATCATTTCTTTACAGATGTCCTTCTGGGTGTCATAAGGGAGGAAGGTTACCTGTAAGTTTGCTGACTTACAGTGCTCCAGGATTGCCTTGGTGGCTTCAAAGTCATCTTTGTTGACTCCTATGACATGAAACTTGACTTTGATCTTCTCTGCAACAAGGCTCAGGGTTTCAGCAGCAAGGTCATATCCCTTCAGCTTCTCCACACCCTTCACCCTACCAATGGACAGGACCACCATTGTCTCTGTGTCCTTGTATTCAACCTCTGCATCTTCAAAGATCTTGGAAGGTCTTGGAACAAACTTGACATGCTGAGGCCTTTTGCTTGCAGGTATAGCTCTGAATTGTGTCTCAAAGTGATCAAATATCTTGTTTCCAAGAGAAAAGACCACATCAGCCTCTTGTGCATCTTCAAGGATGGAGTCTTCCTTCTTCCCAATGCCCATGGCCTCCTCATCTCCCTTGTAGTACTCGGTGTCTTCCGGTATGTCACTAGAAAAGAGGATAACCCCAGTGTCTGGGTACCGTTCTTTCTTTATCCTTACTGCTGCCCTACTTGTAGCATTAGTATGTCCCACAGTGCATCTAATCTTTGGGGGGAGATGTGGATATTTCACTTGGTGGTCAAAGGTCAGCCAGTCCAAAGTGGGGTTAGTTCTAGGATCATCCGGGTCAAGTTTAGGCAGTAACAGTTCCACTCCATCTTGCTGTGCATCTTGTTTGTCCTGTTTGCTTGCTTGTAAAACAGTACTGAAGACAGGAATGTCAAGTTCATCTTCCTTGAGTATTTTTCCCAGTTTCGGATTGATGGAGATCTCTCCTTGAGATGCATTGTACCCATCCTGAATCAGCAAAACAGCAAGGCTCTCTGTAAGTGTAATGAGGGAAAATACCTGTTACTTGACTACAATGTGTAATACATGGAGATCATGTAAATGGACAGTTCATGTAATTTCATAAATGTTCCATGCAACAGTGCCATGATTCAGAATAAAGCAAGTCATGACACTGGCAGTTACCCAGTAGAAGCTATTGTTTTGAAAAGTTCAACAAGAATTTCTTACCGTCATTAAGTCATGTATTTAGAGCTTTAAATTAATTTTATAATCTTTGTTGTTTTATTTTGTGTCATTAACTATGGAAATAATTTTGTATTGATGGTCTTAACTGATGGTCTTCTATACTCAAGTTACATTGTATGTGTGTTTGAAAATCCTATCCTTTGGAGAGAATTCCTTTTTTTAATGTACATGTACCTTGTGGAAGAAGGCCTTGTTTTGAGAAGCGTGTGTGTGTGTGTGTGTGTGTGTGTGTGTGTGTGTGTGTGTGTGTGTGTGTGATTAACTATCCTGATATTTAGGATCCCCTGGAGATGGGTAGGTCTTGATGAGACCTTGATAGATTTATCGCATGGTCTGGACATGCCAAGGTGATGAATTTGGGCTGGTAGGTACTAGTAGTTCTTGTACCAAATATCATCACAACCCATCCAGGCTTTTTAAGTGCTGGCCACAAATATGTGGAAACACACACACAAAAATGTACACACGCACACACACACACGCGCACACACACACACACGCACACACACACACGCACACAGACTGTACAATACCTTCATTTTTCATGGAGTTACAGTGTACATGTAACAAGAGAACCAGCATATGGTATGATAAACCATATCTAAATCTATGAATAATTTAGAAACTAAAGACTGACAGAAGTTAATATACATGTAATAATAACCTTTTTTCCAACAAGAATGTGCTGCCAAATTGCTCAACAATTCTGAGGACCTGATTTGCATAATATATTATTGTTGAATGATGTTCACATTGATACATGACATGTGATAAACGTGCAAAAGCTCCAAGTATGAAATTCCCATAATACCGATATGGCATTATGATATGCAATGTCACCATTTTTCGTGCAAACTACATCCTGATTTGCATAACATACATGTACATCATATAGTTATGTTAATCAAAATTTAAGCTATCTACATATTAAAAATCAGTGCTTAATCAATCACTACAAGATATATATATATATATAAATTCCTGAATGGAAATTACAGAAATTCCTAGTCCAAAGAATTGTTGCAGACAGATTACAGATGTATGCAGTATGCTTGCCCCTAATACATCACCAGAAAAACGGCAGAGGTAATAAGTAAGTAGAAAGTCTGCAAGTTTCAGCATATATCAACTTTCGTTCCACAACTTTGTATTCAGACCGTAAATTTCCGAATAAGGTACGCATGCTGATTAAAGTACCCCTGATTTGGGGCAGATTGGAGACAAATATTGCTGTCATAAAATGGCAAAACTCGAATAAAATATGCACCACAGTTAACACGTTATCATGTACATGTATGTCTTTTAAGTTCGTATTGGCTCAGGTTATTATGAGTGCTACTTACCCATCTTTGTCCCTGTGTATTAGCTGTGGACTTTCATGCTGTCTTCATATGCTGCTGGTGAGAAAAATAAGATTTAAGAATAAGACACTATATGTGGCAACGATACACAGTGGTAAGAACTATTTTGTCTTGAGTTTTCATGATTTTAGGGGTAGTTTGTTCAACAAAATACAAAGAGACAATTGTTCAGATTGTTGAGAAATCAATTTTAGGATAAAACTATAACAGGTTCTTTGAAATGTCAAGGTTTTTTGTGGTGTTAACTTAAGCAGCTGTGATTTTTTTGTACCTGGAAGCAAAATGTTTGGTAGCCATGCAGGAAGTTTTTCAACTCAACAAAATTTAAAAAGTTTGCAACTTTTTACGGAAATTACAGTTGTAGATAGTGACACAAGAATGTATTCTTTTATGTTATTAAAGTCAAGAACCTAACTCACCTGTGGTAGACTCTAAAATCATGACCTTGTCCATGACTTCAACCCATCAGAGAGCCAGGTAAAGGTAGCGTCTCTGGCTTAAGGTCAAAGTGCACCTGAAAAGGGACACTTGTTACAGTCCTTCTCATTGGCCGATTTTACTGTCCAAATGTTTGTGAATTTTTTTGCTGCTGAACGTACATTGTATTTCTTCATATTTGTGATTAGTTTTACTTCAGAGAATGGCAAAAGTTATTCAACATCGATGATGACAATATTTTTCAAGGTCGCACCACTTGGAGATCCCCTAACTTACACCAGTGCAGTGTCAGTTACACCTAGTCATGGGGCATACCACAAAGAATTGCAGGGGTGCCAAACTTTTCCTTACCTCTCATTCTTGTACGTGGAGGTCATAAGCTAAGATATCAAAGTAGCTTCTCAGCAAAAGTTGTAACTTGTTATTTTTTGTTACATCATAGATCCATTGCAATATTCAGTAAAACTTATGAGTAAGCAGTGTGTGGGTAGTGGATTAGAAGGTTCTCAGATACGTTTTGTTTGGTTTGCCCACAGTCACTAACTGAGTTAGCCACACTGCCAATGTAAACAATTCAGTCAATGCATGATGGATTGTAGAGCACAAAACAAGCTGGTTGAGTGATTTGACTAGCCTGTTTGTGTTTGTCGTTGAGCAATCCTTGGTAGTAATGTCTATTGACGACTCGAGTTACTAGATTTGTACCTATGAATGACAGCCAGTTCCTGAATAGTTCATAGTGTAATGAGTGCTGTAAAATCAGGAAACGCTTAAATGATTGCTACACAAGGATGCTCTTAGTGTTTCTTAATATGTCCTTTGAACAAAAATTCCACAATGGGTACGTAGTTACAGAAAATATCAAAACACAGATCAGAGTTGGGAACCCATAAAAGAAGGGAGACATAGGATTAACTTCAACAATCTTAGATCGGACACTAACCTGGCTGATAAGGAAGTAAAGGAAATCCAGTCTCTGATAGAGGAAAGTGGAGGACGGTTCGAATGGACAAAACAATGAGCGGTACAGAATATTTGGCAGGAAATAAGCAAGCTTTCTGTTGAGTTAAAACACAATATTAATAATCATGTAGACAAATGGAGATATATTAATCAACCAAACTCAAGTTTATGGACCTTGTTTGTATGTTGGCCTTTGTATTAAAGTACAATAAAAAGTTATTAATAAGCTTCCCCAAGACATATTAACTAGATGCCCATGGCAGATATTTGCTCGGCAGCAAATACAGCATATTTCAGTCCATACTCCCACTCTAAAATAGACTGTTCCATATCCACCATAAAATCCCATGTAGTGCTCCGGGTCTGATATCAGTAGCCAATCAGCGAAGAACAATAGTTCCGCCTACCTTCGTAACAAAGCCGATCTTCACCGACTATGACCGAGGCTCTGTGATTGGTCTCCGAAGAATTACGAAAGTTGTCTTTTGTTCGGCGCGTAACTTACCTCCCAGTGCCTCTCGTCATTCCAACGCACCGTGACCCACATTGACGAGGATTCCTCCTTCATTGTTCACAAGCCTTGTCGGGCCTTGGCTAGTTTTTTGGTCCGCAGGGAACCAGAAAGAGCGCCTCTGTTGGGCGACAGTGCGCTCTCCGCAACGTAACATTTGTCGGAATTTTGTGTTTCCGACCAAGCTCAAAGAGTGTTGGTACAAATGCATGTATAGCTATTGTAATTTGTATCGTGGTTGATTAAAGAAGAAAACATTGATGTTGGTATAGCTATTGTAGCGTGGTTGAATAAAGAACAAAACATAATTTGGTGTTGGTATAGCTATTGTACCGTAGTTGATTAAAGAACAAAACATTGTTAACAACTAAAAGTGGCGCCCCAGACAAACAAAAAATGTGAATTATAAAAACACTTTGTCGGAATTTTGTATTTCCGACCGAGCTCAAAGAGTGATGGTATACAATGTAGCTACAAAATATCGTATATGCAACCCAAACTACTACTAACTGAATATATAAAGGTTTTCGTTTCGAAGCCTCCTGTCCGATTGGATTTTCTTATTAGTTTCGAGAATAAAATAATTCATCGGCGCATTTCACATTCAACACAATAAAGGAAATAATTTTTTTACCGAACTTCGAAATCGTGTGTTTCTTTGCTCATCAAACAAGGGGCTAATATTAATGTCAGACTGTCATTTCCAAATACTAGTACATGTGTCTTAATAGGGTAAATATCACAATACACACCTGGTCCTGGCACTGTCTGGCCTTAGCTTGCTCGATGATCCCATTATTTCACAAACTTACCCGAAAGTTGAATAAGATAGTATTTGAATAGGTCTAATAAAATTTTTCTGCCAAAATTCCATTCAGCAAAGCGTTATAATTTACGATTACAGCAGCAAAAGCATAGAAGACGCTTGTAATGCTCATATATTCCATTTTGTTTTTGTACAGGTACGCAGATATCGATCGTCAGAGGAAAGCTGCTAGTATTCCTACCGTTCTTGTCACTGAGGCCTCTTCTTGGTCTTCCCATTTGGATTATAAACTTGTTCTAGCCAAGTTCTGTTTGTTATGGTTCATGTTCCGTTTCATTGCTGTTTGTTACTAACATTTGTTGACATGTTTTAACGTTGAGATAACACAGGTACTACTAGTAATATATAAATAATATAATAACAGATATGTATGTGTTCAAAATTCAACTACGTTACCGTTCCCAAGTTCATAAACGAACGGTTTTTAATTCTGCAACAATCGCTATTCACTAAACTTCTAAATTTAGCAAGAAAGGTAAGTTATCGTCGACATTGAACTGCAACGGACAACGAAATAACATTACCACGGGCCTGAGGTAGGTTTGTAATGTATAGAAAACGGAAACGTAACTGCGGCTTCTGTATGAAACCTTGATGAAACCATGGAGACCAAGGACAAAGGTAAGTTATCGCCGACATCGAACTACAACGGACAACGAAATAACTCCACCACGGGCCTGCCCTAGGTTTGTAATCTATAGAAAAATTGAACTGCGGGTTTTGTATGAAACCTTGATGATACTAGATGTTTTTCAGTGACGAAACCTTTTTTTTTTATTTTGACCGTATAACGTTACTAGTAATTAACTTTCTGGACCTAATGGTTTGACGATAGTGCCCTCTTTTTCTCACGATTGTACCAGTCTTATATATGTTGTAATCAGGAATCCAAATACATGTATAATGTTGTATATTAAGTTTTTAGAGCCGCCTTTAGATCTGAAACTCCGGCCGCCCTGGCCATTTTATCATTTGGATGATATAATACATGTATATGCTGCTCTAACCCTATCTAGACCGGGGATGGGGGGGGGGGGGCTAAAAGTGCCCGCACCAACTTTGATGTCACATAGTGTCTGAACGGCTAGCGCAACAATTTTGTATCATTGGAATTAGATAATAATTTTTTGTGTTGCACGGTGGTAAAATCTGGGCTGAAAAGTTCCCACATGTCATAGAACCCGAACTGTGTTCGATCGTGTTCGATCTGGGGAATTCGAATCGAACCCGCGTTCTATTTCGGGGTCACCTGCGGTCATTTACTATAAAGCGGCAAAACAAGCCTTTCTACCTCCGTGCATTGCAACAGATAAAAAACAACACTTTTCTATAGATACAAACAGTATCCTGGACAGTACATGTCCGCTGTTATTTTTGGTGGGTATGTAACATGTAGCGAAGCTACTGTCGTATCCTTGAGTGACCTTGAATACTGTAATGATTCTTTACACCAGTATGAATAACACAATGGGGTCGTGTGGCGCAGCGATAGCGTTCTCGACTCGGAACCAGAGGCCCCGGGTTCGAGTCCTGACATGTCACCGATCTTGTGCCCTTGGGAAAGGCACTTTACACGACTTTCCTCACTTCGCTCAGGTGTAAATGAGTATTGTACTGTCCCTGTGTTGGTGTCGGCATTAATATAAGTTGAAAAAAAACTTGAGTGTGTCGTCACCACGTCTTGTGATTACATGTTTCGGAATAAAAAAAAAAAAAAA